TCTGTTGTACGTAGGATCGCTATGAGTTGGAACTGACTCAAAGGCATGTAACAACAAGAGTCCTTCAAAAACTCTCCAAGCAGTAGCGTTAAACACAGGATGAAATTTAACAGTTCTGCTGTGGTGCTCTAGGATAAGCACCAGACTACTAACCACAAGGCTGGCGGATCAAACCCACCAGCTGCTCCCTGGAAGCCCTATACAGAGTCACTATGAGTTGGAACTGACTCAGCGGCACTACGAACAAGCCTCATCAGGAGGTAGATGGAATCCTTGGGCAGTGCAAACAGTGAATGCATTTATCATTTAACCAAAAGTTTAGATGTAGGAGTCCAGAGAGACACAGCTCATGAAAAAACTACTAAAAATCGGCCACTGAAAATCCTGTGAAGCACACTTCTAATCTGACACATATGGGGGTCATCATGGTTGTGGCTGACTCCATAGCAACAAGCTAGGGAGATGGGGAGGAAGGTAGATACAAAGGAAAGGGTCCTACCCTGAAGGAACGCCCCAAACAAAAACTGAACAGAATTACACTGAGACTCAAGATTTAGGGGAAATAATGAACCTAAAAATAGAACTTTTCTTATAACAAGTTCTTGGTCTATTTTAAAAAAAAAAACAAAAAAAAAAACAAAACCCCACAAAATTCCTTCCTGCTAAGGCATATTCCTGACCCGGGAATCAAGAACAGAAAGCTGGGAGTTTTGCAGGCATTATACCCTCTGCTGCTCCACACCACACCACACCACACTTCGTTTATTAGATGCAAGTTTTATGCTCTGCGGCTCCATAGTGTCAGCTGAGCTTATGAAAATCAAGATTTATCCTCAATGCCTGATATTGCATCCTTGACAATAGATAAATAAGAAACAATATGTTCTTAATTTGTCTGACAATGATTCATGGAGCAGAAATACAACTTGATCTTCATCAGCCATGCTGGCTGTTGGATTTCAGACAATTACTCTTTGCTTGTCTCTGCCCACTTCCTCCTATTTTCCCCAGAGCTCTATCTTTGCCTCAATATAGTTTCATTAGAATTAATATCCTCAGAGAAGTTCACAATTAAAAAGGCCTAACAGGCTAGAAGAACAGAAGATACTACTTGAAAGAAAGACCACCGACAGGAAAAACACAAAACAATACCAGCAGTCCGACTGATTACTACAAGTACAAGCAAGTTGCTCAGCCAGGAGACATCAAGGCAAGTGGTCAAGTCCCTTCAGGACAAATCCCCTTCCAAGACTAAGACTCAATGGGAATACACAAGCAGACATACGCTCTGATTGGTGACCACGTTCATCATTGATAAGGAGAAGTGAGGGAAAAGCAGCAATGAAGCTGCGAGATACACCCTACAACATTCAATAGACTCCTGTGAACCCAGGTGGAGACTTGGTTGGCTTCAATGACAGGAAGATGAGCGCTCAACTAGAAGAAAGAAGAGGAAAAAAAGAATAATCTTATACAACTTGATGAACTTGCCCTACACCTATGGATGCAGTAGCTCAAAAGAGGGAACAAATCTTTACAGTGGGGATCATTCCCACCCCCTCGATACACAGGGTAGACAGGGACAGGCAAAAAGATTATTTAAAAAAAAGTAACAGAAGACCCAAGCAGTAAAGAGCCTGCGAGTTCACGAGCCTAATCCCCTGTAATGGTGGAATGAGTAGGCTGGAAGGAAGAGTTAGTTTTTGCTTTGAATTCACTGGAAGAAGGGAGTCATTCTCAAAGGCAGGAGAGGTGGGTTATTTTGCTACTAGGACTTTGATGGGTAGTTTTACGTGACAACTTGCGTGGCTTATAAACAAATACCAACCCATTGCTGTGACCAGTCAGTTAATTCTAAGTCCTAGTGACCCCAAGAGGACAGATTTGAACTGCCCACAGGGTTTCCAAGACTGGAAATCATTACAGGAACAAACTTCCACATGTTTCTCTCTCATAGACATTGGTGGGTTTGAACCACTGCCCTTTTGGTTGACAACCAAGCACTTTAACCACTGTGCTATCAGGAACCCCTGGTTATGTTGTTGTTGCTGTTAAATGCCATCCAGTTGATTCTGACTCCTAGCAACTCTCTATAATACTTCGGAGGAGCATCTGGTGGGTTCGAACTGAAGACCTTGTGGTTCACAGTCTAGTACTTAGCTTACAGAGCCACACCAGTACTCCAAAGATACTGACAATGGTGGTGTTGGTGGTTATGTGCTGTGGAGTTGGTTCCGACTCATAGCGACCCTGCATAGGGTTTCTGAGGCTGCATACCAAAACGAAAACGAAGTATTCAACTTCTTCCAGAACTGCCTTACACTGGAGTTGTTGAAACGGAACCTTGTCATAAGTCAGGGACTACCGGTCTATGGTTTTGGTGAGGAGAAAAAGAGCTTTAGGCTCCTGCATATGTTGTGTTCATGCTGCAGTACTGACAATAAACACACACAGATCAGGATAAATCATTGGGTATCATGTCCCAGGGGCCACCTTGCAGTGATGGGCAGTTATGCTGTCGGGCCAGGAAAGGGAGAAGTAGCACAGACCAGCAGCAGAAGTGCTTCCAGCTCCATTTTAGACAAGCTCAGACAGGTCTTCAAACAGCAGGTGGCCAGGGGAAAGTGAGAGATATAGACTCGTGCCCAAAACTCAGAGCTTGAACCACAAGTCAGTGCGGGAGTCAGATGCTATAAATCATCCATAGTTTTAGAGTCAGTTTATACTTAGAAGATGAGTTGAAAAGAGGTAAGACCTTGCTCTTTACCTAAACAAGAAAGCTCGATTGGCAGTTCTTTAAATGACAGCTTCCGTCCTTGACCACTGCTGAACTTGACTTCAGAATGAATAATGCTGCTTGCCAAAGAGCAGGATCAGGGGAGACCAGCCAGCAGGAGAGCCATGTGAAGTCCTGACAGCTCAGTGTCAGCTGTGACAGGCTCTGTCCAGCTGATGATCCCAGATGGGCTGCTCTCTGGGGAACGGCCACTTCCTAAGGAAGTCACACACGCTGGTCACTGCAGTGCCAGCCCAGAGACCACAGGTGCATGCAAGTGGTCCCCTCTGCCCTAGCCTTCCAGAAAGGCCCCCAGGGGAGCACATCCCAGAGCAGACCTCAAAGACACCCTAAGGGCTCAGTGGCCTGTTGGCCTGCCTGTCTTAGAATCATGCTGGTCTTCTGAGCTACAGGTGCCCAGCAT